GGGAGTGTAAGAACCAGGTCATCTCTGCCCTCTCAGCTTGGAGGCACCTGTACAGACTGGCCTTGGGCCTGTACTACAGCTCAGCTCTTCCTCTGCCTAATTCTGCTTCCTTTCCCCACTCCACAGGTGTGGATCCAAGGAGAGCCCCTGAAACGTCAGCTTCCCACGTTGCCCAGCCAGAGCCACCTTCTGTGGTCCTCCTTCGGCCATACTCCTTTCCTAAGGTCAAGCCAGGGCACTTGCCTACCTAGAGCCTAGACCACACACCCAGGTGTCCAGGACCTGAAATCCCTGCCCATGAGACTCAATGCTTCCGGGGTCTGCAAGGAATCAGCTCTCCCAAGGGCTGGAAGGGTGGCAGGGAGCCTGCAGGAGCCCTCAGACAGAAGAGGAGGCAGGAGGGCTGGGCAGGGGCTGTGGACCAGGGCCAGCTTTCAGGCAGAAAACTCTGAGGAGTCCACAAATTCTCAGTTTGAAGCTGCCTTAAAGGTTGTGATGGAGGTGCATATTTGGTCAAGTTAGGAGGATAGAATGTGTTTTTGTTTAGCAGGGGTTTGGGGGTTTTTTTTAGCTTGATCTTTAATGGAAATATAAATTATCTAGACAGATAAATTATATGCCTCCATTTGTCCTCTAGCTACTGACCCCACAAATGGGGCCTGCAGGCTATGTCCCAAGCCAGCCGTCCTACCTCATGTCATCCTGCAGTGTGGCCCAGCGGCTTTCATTGCCCTTCCTTCCTGCTGGGACACTGTACCATATTGCCTAGACCCCTTTGGGGATGAGGGACTTCTATACTGGGGGCTGGGAGCGCTGCAGGAAGAAAGCCCTTAGCTTTCAACCTCCTTTGAGGATTGCAGAAGACAGCCACCTCTCCTAAGGCTGTGTCTGCACCCAGTGACTGACCAATGAACTCTTGGCCCCAACTCAGGACAGTGCTGAAGGGTCATCCCATCCTCAGGGCTCCCTCTGCAGTCAGCTGGGTCAGTCCTTCATGAAGACCACAGTGCAGCTGGACTTCTCCCTCTGCCCACCCTGCTTCTTTCTGCCCCTTCCCTACCATGGGTGCTGATCCCGGGAGCTAAAGGCCTTCTGGGCATTGTTTCTCAGGAACCCTGCCTGTGACTCTCCAACAGTCTCAGTCAGTGCGACTTCTATCACACTGTCCTCACTCTTAACATTTTGGCGTTCTGGCCTACTCCTGATCTGCTAACTAATGCACACCTCCTCTTCACATCTGCCCCTACTCTTCCCCCTGCTTGGAACCAGTCCTCATTATCTTCTCTAATTCCTACATATCCTTTAGTTAAGTGCTTCCATGAACACATTGAGGCTCCCTAAGCATAGGGCCCCAGCTGGGTCACCTCTGCCTCCTCGTGGCTGGCAGACACTCCAGGTGAGTGCCTCCCGGGCATGTGCTGGTTGGGAAAGGGAAGGGTTGCCTCCCCTAACCCCTTAGTTCCTCAACTCTTTGGTTAAGTCAGCAGGGCTCAGGAATGCTTGGGTGGGTTTATTGACCAGGTGATTTGTAGGTTGTGATACTAAAGGAAAAGACGGTGAGCAAGAGAAGGTCCCCAAGGGAGGCCAGGAGGCCCTGAGCTTCCTGGGAATCAGCAGACATGGAGGAGGCTGCTTTGGACTGCCACATGTCCTGAACTTCCCCTCACCTCAGGGGCCAAGAGGTACCTGAGCTGCACTGATTGCACACCACATAGCTCAGCCATGAGGGAGACCTTAGAGCTGACCCTGCAAATCTCCCCCCTGTGCCTACTTTACAGATGAGGAGACTGAAGCCCAGAGTGGCATTGTGTGCATTCTTAATACTCCCTCTGTGGTGAACACCATCACTTCCCAACTCCTCTCATCTTCTTCCACTATAGAGGCTTTTGGAAAGCCACATTCTGGCCTTCGCAAATGCTCTTGAGGCTACAGGCGGCCACATGATAGACTTCCGGTCAATAGGATAGAAGTGGAAGACTTTCACTTCCCTGATAAATGGGGACGATGTAGCTGAGCCACATTCTTGCTTTGAATGTATTCATGATACCTGAAGTTGGGGCAGCCATTTTGGGACCATGAGGGGTGAAGCTTCTGAACAAAACTTATAGCTGCCTACTTGGAGACTCACTTTCTGTTTAACCACTGTTAGGTTTTCTGATACTTGAAGTCAAAAATCTCCCAGGAGTGGGAAGCTGAGGCAAGAGAATCGCCTAAGCCCAGGAGTTGGAGGTTGCTGTGAGCTGCGATGCCGCAGCACTCTACCAAGGGCAATAAAGTGAGACTCTGTCTCTAAAAAAAAAAAAAAAGTCCCGGTGCCTGTGGCTCAAGTGGCTAAGGCACCAGCCACATACACCTAAGGTGGCAGGTTCAAATCCAACCTGGGCCTGCCAAAACAACAATGACGGCTGCACCAAAAAATAGCCAGGCATTGTGGTGGGCGCCTGTGGTCCCAGCTACTTGGGAGGCTGAGGCAGGAGACTCGCTTGAGCCCAGGAGTTGTAGAGTGCTGTGAGCTGTGATGCCACAGCACTCTACCCAGGGGGGTAGCTTGAGGCTCTGTCTCAAAGAAAAAAAAATCTCCCAGGAGATGCTTTCCGGAGCCCCATTCCCTCACCTGCCATGTTAGGGAAGCTGTCCAAAGTCATGTATGCTCCTTCAACAAAAATGCTGCATTTTTTGATATGTAGCAGGTGCTATGCTGAGGGGGGTTGTGGGAGAGACAAGGGCAGTCAAAAGCAATCATGGCCCCTGTGTACTTGGGGCTAATAGTCTAGTGGGGGAGGCAGACATAAAGCAATAAATGAGAACATCATTACACACTGCTGCGAGTATGATAAAAGAAAGAACATTGTTCTGTGAGAGCTTATAAGTGAGGAGCCTGACTGAGATGAGGGATTTGAGGCTCCTGAGGAGGTAATACTAGAGGCATTTATTAGGCAGATCTTGAGGTATGAGAACAGAATGTGCAAAGGCCCTGTGGTGGGAAGGGCAGACTGGCACTTTAGCAGGACAAAAAGATGACAAGTGTGAATGCTGAAAGAAAGGATCTGAATGGGAGGAAGTGTGTAAAAGACCTTGGAAGTTTCTGAGGAGGCAGGAGGGGAGGAGAGGGCCTTGCGGATGGGTGGGCCTTGGTCAGAGAAGAGACAAGACACACTGAGGTTCAAAGATGTGCTGAGGCATAGTCAACGTGATTCTTAGCAGATGACTTGAGAGACAGTACAGCAGAGCCAAGCGAGGCTCTGCTCCTCTTGGCTTCAGCAGGGTGCCCAGGTCCAGGTAGAAAATTGGAGGGAAGAGGTGGTAACAGGCCTCTTGGGTTTGCTGTGAATGAGTTCACTTGTACCAGGCACATAGGTAAATGGTGTGTGGGAAATGGTGACAATATGACAGGAACGTGGTGGAGGGAGAGACAATACGTTGCCAGGTAGGCTGGCCAGACGGTGCAGGGGCAATGGCGGTGGCCTCACTGCACACTCAGGCTCCACAGCTTTGTGGTTTTGAGAATTCTCACTTCACTGGTGCAGAGCCAGAAAGACCAAGGCCCACACCTGGCTCAAGGCAAGTTTTGCGGCTAACCAGCCATGGGAGGGGGCATGCAGGGCCAGGTTCAGGACTCTCTAAGCCCCAGCTGACCCCTCTTTAAAATGGGGATGATCAATCCTGACCGGGCATAGTCATGGCGATTGGGAGAGAAGGCACTAGGAAAGCTGCTGACACACAGAGTTGTGAAGCTCCTGGGGACTGCAGAAGCCAGCTGAGTGGAGGGGCCCTGGAGGTTCTGTTAAAAGGATGGGCAGCTACCTCTGCCCCACAGAGTACTCCAGGGGTCACGCTTCTATTGGACAAGACAGGTTCTTCTTGGAGAGCCTTTCGTCCTCTTGGGACATCCCACTTCCATATCCCCCGGCTGTGGCCAGATGTGTCTGTGCACACCTGGGAGGGTTTTACAGACACGTATCGGGGACCTCCCTAAGAGGAAGCAGTTTAGGGGTGCAGCTCCCTGAACCTGATGCCCTGGCCTGCATCAGGGTGGAGCCAGGGTGTGTGCTGACCGGGGGGGCCAGGTATGTGGCTGGCTGCCAGCCGGGGCCTTTCTTTCAGGTGCTCCTGCCCTGAGAGGCCACTGCCTGCGCTCACCTGTCTGCAGGGCCTGCTGCTCCTTCAGCAGGGCCACCTCCTGGGCCAGGCTGTCCAGCTGGCTCTTGAGCTCCTCAAACATCTTCGGGCTCACAACCTCTAGGATGAAGAGAAGAAGACTGTGAGGAAGGCAGAAGAGTAGTGACTGAGGCAGGGCTGGTGTGGGCTGGGGTTTGTCTCGGCCACAAAGGACGAGGAGAAACAATCCCCTCAACCAGGTAACTTGGGACAGTTTCTCTCTCTCTGTCGCAGCTGGCGGTAGTCTAACCAGTCTCTCACGATCTTCCTTCTGCTGGGTGGCCATCTCTCACTGGCTCCTGCTGAAGTGAGACCTACAGTGCACTGTTCAGGATTGTCAGTGGGGATCAGTACCTTTTGTAATCTGCACCTAAAAGGCTTAATGTGCAAAGGGTCCTCTAGGGACTAGCTAAGGAACAAGAAGCTAAGAGCAGGCTGGGAGCCGTGGCTCAGGCCCGTAATCCCAGCACTCTGGGAGGCCGAGCTGAGTGGATTGCTTGAGCTCCCGAGTTCAAGACCAGCCTGAGCAAGAGTGAGACCCCATCTCAACTAAAAATACAAAAACTAGCCAGGCATAGTGGCGGGCTCCAATAGTCCCAGCTACTTGGGAGGCTAAGGCAAGGGTATTGCTCAAGCCCAAGAGTTTGAGTTTGCTGTGAGCTATGATGCCATAGCCCTCTACCCAGGGCAACAGAGTGAGACTCTATCTCAAAAAGAAAAAAACAAACAAACAAAAAAAACTAACAGCATTTTGCTTTACTCAAGGAAGGTGTGGGATAGGGGTTATCGCCACTACCTGTAGTAGGAGTCAGGAGGCCCTTGTGCTGTCCCTCTGTCAGCCTCAGATTCCTGATGTGTGTGATTGGGGCTGGGCTTAGCAGGGCAGGAGCCTCCAGTGACCCCCTCCCCGCTCTCAGCTCCAGAGGAGAACAGCACAGGAAGCAGGAGCCCTCCGGGCCCCCTGGTTCACTCCCCAGGCTAGAAGAACATGAAGGCCAGCAAGGCAGTATGCCAGCCTAGGGCAGGCACATGCAGAGGTCCCCAGATGTGGGTGGCCTGGGCAAGCTACTCCTCTTTCTGAATTCAGTTTCCTCCTGTGTGAAATGGAAGCTAATAGCCTCACCTCAGAGGACTCTGGAGAAGACTGAGAGAAAGGAAGTCTGGGACAGAGTGTGTGCCTGTCACAGCCTCTAGTAATGCAGGGGCAGAAGGAACCTGGGTTTTTCACACTACTGGGGCAGCCACAGCAGGCCAGGCTCTGGGTGTGGCCTTCTCTTGTGCCGTCTTGTGCGATGCTCATAATCCACCTCGGACACGAGTAACTGTCATCCTAGACCACTTCCATTCACAAACAAAGCCCAGGCCAGCCCAAAGCAACTCACCTAGGATGGCACGGCACCACTGGCAGGCTGGCCCACAGCCCAGCTCAGGTGCTTCAAAGCCACCCTTCCCACCTGTATGATGGCACACAGAGCCCGTTGTGCAGGAGTTGGCAGGGGCAGGAGGGGAAACATATTTCTGTGTGTGTGCAAGTCACGAGCTCTGGGGGTGGACCCCAATCTTTCTAAAACCCCAGGGCTTCAGGAAAGGCCGCATTCAGCTTGGGGCAAAGGGTGGGGAACATATCTGTGGCCCATCTGGCTGTGCTTGCACAAAGTCCACATTCATGGGGAGTGAGATCAGAGCCAAAAAAAAAAAAAAAAAACCACCCATAAGATGCGTTTGCAGGGGAATCACAGACAAGACACACATTTGTATATAAAGAAATTAATGATGTAACTTATCACACATGAGGAAAATAACACCCAGATGAGCAAGACGAAAAGGGAGGGTTTGGGGCTGGCAAACTAGCCTGGGGTTACGTGTTTCTGCATGCCCCACCAGGGCCTCTGCCTCAGCCAGGTTCACCGCAGCTCTGGACCCAGTCACATGATTCACCAGCAGAGGGCGCCGCATGAGGCTGCACAAGTTGGGTAGTGGGCAAGAGTGTTCAGCCTACGTCCAGCTCCTAAGCCTTGCTCTGGCTAGGCTGGGCCAGCCCAGAAAAAGGGGTGCCTTTCTAGAATTTGTTGGTTCAAAATGAGTACCTTTTGTAATCTGCACCTAAAAGGCTTAATGTGCAAAGGGTCCTCTAGGGACTAGCTAAGGAACAAGAAGCTAAGAGCAGG